GTATATTGAATAAACAAAAAGCAAAGTTTAATTCGCAGGAACGTGACTAAACCATATAATAAGGATTGAAAATGTAGTATGTAAACTACAAACGAAAAACCAAAAAACAAAAAGTGAAGAAAAACAACAACAACAATCCAAGGCAAGTGATTTTCACTCTTTTCTTAAAACAAAATTGTCCCGCAACTGTGCTTACAGTTCACAGCACTTGTCTCCCAAGGTACAACAGATTCAACTTGTGGTAGAAGCACTTCAAATCACAAGTTATGGCGAGCTTTCGATAGAGTTTCTTTCTACAAAGAAGAAAATGGTTTGAATGAATTTAGAAGTGATTTGCAAGAGTTTTTATGCAATGCTCAATGAAAATATGATATGGGATGCAAAATGGACATCCAAAGGGTCCTATATATAGAGGATGAGGGGTGAATGAAATGCCACACACCAACCTCAACAACTCTTGTCAAAGGTCACACCATACACTATCGCAAGCATATCGCCATCGCCTTGCTCGAGCGATAAAAAGAGTGACTTTTTTGCTAGTCTATCGCTCGAGCGATAGCCCAGCCATAAGCTACCAACAGCCTTAGTCAATTTTCTAAACAGCTTTTTCTATTTTCCTCCCAATTTTGGACCGCAATTTCTCATTCATTCGGAATTTATTTTGAAATTCCAAATATACCACGACGATCTACTCGATGAGTAGAAATATTTACTTTTGTAATTTGACTATCGGATCAAGTTCGAATATTTGGCCGAAGTTGACACGAAAGTTACCTATTCCAAGTTTTGGTTTTATCACTTAACCAAATTTCAATCTTTCAAAACCAAATTTCAACAATCGCCCACATGAATGTTAATTCGAATATGCATATGCAATGCAATGCGAAAACATGATGCATTGTAGAGAGGGAGAGGAAAAACATTGCATCATGTGAGCTAGCTTGCAGCTTTGAACCTTTCTTAGTGAAATACTATTGGACTCACTAGGCTAATTGGTGAACGCGATGTCTTGAATCATTCAGCCTTTAGTGTAAGACAAGACAATAGTACTTACACAGATGTCTTTCCTATTTCATTCATAATTCTTATGTTTTAGTTCATTTTGGCCCTGAACCCTCTTGGGTTTCATAAGTGTTTAAATAATTTAAGCCTTGAATAATTCTCATTGAA